AGAAACTTAGCAATGACACTTTCTCTCTCACTCTCTCCAATGAACTCAGCAACTTTCACCAACCTTTTTCTTCATCATGATCCTCTCAATTTATAACCATCCATAGAATCATCTAGAACTTCCTAGAATGAGCTAGAAAGTAATGGAAAGTCATGGAATTTCTCCTTTAATGACATGTTGATCATACCATATCTCATGAGTTAGGCCTTGTAAACTTGTGTCAAAATCTCATTGCAAGAGATATTGAGATCATATGTGCAAAAATCAGGCCAAACTTGCCTTGTGTAGAACCTTCCAAGGATGCCTTAAGATGCAAGTTACAATTTTTCAAAGCAACCTTCATTTTTGAGCCTCAAATCCAAATTCTGTTTAAACCAAAGTTTTTAGAATGTTATTTGCAATCAAAATGGTATATTGGATGACCTATTTTGGATTCATAGATCTCCCAAACCAAATTTCAACTTGACTTGAATTAACTTATAAGCCATTTTTAGTTCAAATTTACCAAATCTTGTAAATCCTTGCTAAAAGCTTTTTCAATAACTAATGACAACTTTTCTAAGCTTAAAATCCCATTTTGAACAACTTTCATGTTTTGAGTTTTTCCATTTGAGGCTTGGAAATAGGAGATATGGCCTTTGCTTAAAATGACCTATAATTGCCAAATGACCAAAATACCCCTGTCTTGTTCAAACCATAAGTTGAGTTCTACAAATCCTATCAAGGACTTCTAGTACTCTATAGAAATCTAAGAAGATGCTCTTCAACATTCATGTTTACCAAGAAATCATAGGAATCATCCTACTAGGGCAAAAGTTGTCTACAAGTTTGGTGACTTTCAAGGACCCAGATTCACACACCTCTGCTGACCTGTAATTTGTCAAAACCATAACTTGAGCTCTGCAACTCCTATCAAGGACTTCTACCACTCAAATTAAAGCTATGAACAAGCACTACAACATTCATGTTGTGGGGAAGATGAGATATCAATCACATCTTGAGCTAAAACTGCCTGGAAGATAGGGATCAAATTAGGGTTTTTCACTGACAATCCTTGGAAACCCTAACTTGAAACTTCTCAAACTCCTCAATCATGATGAGTTGTTCTAGGAATCATCTTTATAAAATCTCCATACATCATTCCATGATCTCATAGCCCTTGGATTAGGTCTCAACCTTCTCCAAATTTTCAGTTGACCTAGGGTTGACCCAGTTAAAACCCTAATTCTACCATTCATGGTTGAATCTTCTGAACTCTTGCACAATGACTTCTATGGGCTTCATGATGGCTCTCAAGACATCTCAAAAGCTTTCTCAAAGCTTCAAGTTCACTCTCAAAGTCTCAGAATCATCTGAGGAGCTCCCACAACTGTCAAGCTATGAAGCACAAAACCTTGGTTTCAACCAATTTCTCTGAGGATCTCTTGAACTTTCTGATGAAGGTATCACCCTGCAAACACTTGATGGATAAATAATTGTTTGTCAAATTTTGGGGTGCAACAATTACATTGAGCGTTTAGGCTCCGGTCATTTTCGTTGAGTATCCAGACTCCGGTCATTACGTTGAGCGTTCAGGCTCCGATCATTTTCGTTGAGTATCCAGACTCCGGTTATTATGTTGAGCGTTCAGGTTATTACATTGAGCGTTCAGGCTCCGGTCATTTTCGTTGAGTATCGAGACTCTGATCATTACGTTGAGGGTTAAGGCTCCGGTCATTTTTGTTGAGTAACCAGACTCCGGTCATTACGTTGAGCGTTCAGGCTCGGATCATTTTCGTTGAGTATCCAGACTCCGGTGATTACATTGAGCGTTCAGGCTCCGATCATTTTAGTTGAGTATCCAGACTCCATTCATTACGTTGAGCGTTCAGGCTCCGAACATTTTCGTTGAGTATCCAGACTCCGGTTATTACGTTGAGCGTGCAAGCTCCGGTCATTTTTGTTGAGTATCCAGACTCCGGTCATTACGTTGAGCATTCAGGCTCCGATCATTTTCGTTGAGTATCCAGACTTCGGTCATTATGTTGAGCGTTCAGGTTATTACGTTAGGCGTTTAGACTCCGGTGATTTTCGTTGAATAACAAGACTCCGGTCATTATGTTGAGCGTTCAGGCTCGGATCATTTTCGTTGAGTATCCAGACCTTGGTTATTACGATGAGCATTCAGGCTCCCGTCATTTTCGTTGAGTATCCAGACTCCGGTCATTACATTGAGCGTTCACGTTATTACGTTGAGTGTTCAGGCTCCGGTCATTTTTGTTAAGTACCCAGACTCCGGTCATTACGTTAAGCGTTCAGGCTCCGGTCATTTTCATTGAGTATCCAGACTCCGGTCATTACATTGAGCGTTCAGGCTCCGGTCATTTTTGTTGAGTATCCAGACTCCGATTATTACGCTGAGCATTCAGGCTCCGGTCATTTTCGTTGAATATCCAGACTCTGGTTATTACTTTGAGCGTTCAGGCTCCGGTCATTTTCGTTGAGTATCCAGACTCCGGTCATTACGTTAAGCGTTCAGGTTATTACGTTGTGCGTTCATGCTCCGGTCATTTTCGTTGAGTATCCAGACTCCGGTCATTACATTGAGCGTTCACGTTATTACGTTGAGTGTTCAGGCTCCGGTCATTTTTGTTGAGTACCCAGACACCGGTCATTACGTTAAGCGTTCAGGTTCCGGTCATTTTCGTTGAGTATCCAGAGTCCGGTGATTTCGTTGAGCGTTCAGGCTCCGGTCATTTTAGTTGAGTATCCAGATTCCAGTCATTACGTTGAGCGTTCAGGCTCCGGTCATTTTTGTTGAGTATCCAGACTCCGGTTATTACGCTGAGCATTCAGGCTCCGATCATTTTCGTTGAATATCCAGACTCCGGTTATTACGTTGAGCGTTCAGGCTCCGGTCATTTTCGTTGAGTATCCAAACTCTAGTTATTATGTTGAGCATGCAAACTCTGGTCATTTTTGTTGAGTATCCAGACTCCGGTCATTATGTTGAGCATTCAGGCTCCGATCATTTTCGTTGAGTATCCAGACTCCGGTCATTACGTTGAGCGTTCAGGTTATTATGTTAGGCGTTTAGACTCCGGTCATTTTCGTTGAATAACAAGACTCCGGTCATTAGGTTGAGCGTTCAGGCTCAGATCATTTTCGTTGAGTATCCAGACTCTGGTTATTACGATGAGCGTTCAGGCTCCGGTCATTTTCGTTGAGTGTCCAGACTCCGGTCATTACGTTGAGCGTTCAGGTTATTACGTTGAGTGTTCAGGCTCCAGTCATTTTTGTTGAGTACCCAGACTCCGGTCACTACGCTAAGCGTTCAGGCTCTGGTCTTTTTCGTTGAGTATCCAGACTCCGGTTATTACGTTGAGCGTGCAAGCTCCGGTCATTTTTGTTGAGTATCTAGACTCCGGTCATTACGTTGAGCATTCAGGATCCGATCATTTTCGTTGAGTATCCAGACTGCGGTCATTACGTTGAGCTTTTAGGTTATTACGTTGAGCGTTCATGCTCCGGTCATTTTCGTTTGGTATCCAGACTCCGGTCATTACGTTGAGCGTTCAGGCTCCGATCATTTTTGATGAGTATCCAGACTCCGGTCATTACGTTGAGCGTTCAGGTTATTACGTTGAGCGTTCAAGCTCCGGTCATTTTCGTTGAGTATCCAGACTCCGGTCATTACATTGAGCGTTTAGGCTCCGGTCATTTTCGTTGAGTATCCAGACTCCGGTCATTACGTTGAGCGTTCAGGCTCCGATCATTTTCGATGAGTATCCAGACTCCGGTTATTATGTTGAGCGATCAGGTTATTACATTGAGCGTTCAGGCTCCGGTCATTTTCGTTGAGTATCCAGACTCCGATCATTACGTTGAGGGTTAAGGCTCTGGACATTTTTGTTGAGTAACCAGACTCCGGTCATTACGTTGAGCGTTCAGGCTCGAATCATTTTCGTTGAGTATCCAGACTCCGGTGATTACATTAAGCGTTCAGGCTCCGATCATTTTAGTTGAGTATCCAGACTCCAGTCATTACTGTAATACCCTAATTTTTACCCCTAAGATCCCACATTTCATTTGCATATCATACGCAAACAAGATCATACTTTATGGTTCTCCAGGCACCCCTGTGTGTTTCTTACTTGATTTTTGTTGTTTATGTTTACTAACTTCTAACCAAAATACCAAAAAATATTTTGCAATATTTTGCTTGTTTCTTCTTCTTTGTGTGTTTAGGTTTTTTGCAAGGAGATTAATGACAAAGACATTCATTTAAGTTTAAATCAGATGGACGTTTGACCTCATCTTGGTCAAACTATCAAAAGTTTGCTTCGATTATAAGTTACCCGTGGTGGTGGGTTATTTTCTCAGGAAATGAGATGGTTCAAGGTCAAATTGTCTTGTATTGAAATCCAGTGGTTTATCAAGCAGTGTTCTATGAGAAGTTTGGTCCATGACTATTATGATCAAGGTTCATCAGTCCAGGTTGTGTTCATCTATGGATTTATTTTCCCAGAGATTAATTCAGATAAATTCAAAGAGATTCAGTTTTAATCGAAGATTCAAAAGTTTATTTGTGCAAGTCAAGTTTGATATTCATTCAAGTGTGCTATTTCCCAGTAATTCTAAAGCATGATTGAGGAGAAACCGGAAGGCCCTTGAAAGTAAATATGTTAGTTCCAATCTTCATCATTGGATAGATTCGGTATTTGGATGCAAGCAACATGGCAAACCTGCTGTAGAGGCAGCAATCATATTCTACTACTTAACATACGAAGGAGCTGTTGATCTGGAAACAGCGGAAGATGATTTGCAAAGAGCTGCAATAGAAGACCAAATAGCCAACTTTGGCCAGACCCCAATTCAGATATTTCGCAAGAAGCACCCAAGAAGAGGGCCACCTATTCCAATTGCACGTCCTCTGTACTTCGCGCCTGATTCCATTAGTTTGACTTCCATTTGTTTCAAATACTAGTCATTCTTCATCAGCTATACTGTATGTTGGTCTAATGGACTCAAATGTTATCCTTGTGAATGAGGGTAGCTCTGCACAGAAGCATCAAAACAAAGCAGTGTCATCAGATGGAAACACAAGGATTGCAGCACGTCCATGTCCAGTGCAAGATGCTAGTTCTGACAGAGGAAAGCAACCTGCATTGCCTCAAGATTCTCTTAGAGGGAGAAAACCTATATATGAAAGAGCATCTCCATCTAAACAAACAACAATTCAACCTTGAAGGCTTATGTTATCAAGCAACCAAATGCCCCATGCCAATGCATTGATCGTACCTAAAGATGAGCCTGTTGATGAATTGTCTGATTATGAGCTTCCCATTGCAATGGTTCCTCCTGAACCTATAAGTTTAAGGCATTCATCAAAGAAGAGTGGTATTACTAGAAAGCAAGGTGGCCATGTCTCTGTGACATCATCATAGCACAAAAAATGGAGTTAGAAATAAAGAAGTGGCTTCTGATGTTGTGATAGCCTCTTCAGCTCAGGGAGAAGTAAAAATTTCACTGAGCTACAGCTCAGCTATTCAAGGTCCAGATTTTCGCATGTCTACTCAAGAACAGCTTCTAAAGATGATGGAGGATAGATGTCTGCGATCATATAAAATCACTGACCCGAACTTTTCTGTCGCGAAAATGTTTAAGGATATATGTGATTGCATGATGGAATTTTGTGCTGTCAAACTCCTCCTCATAAGGTTGGCCGGGTCCCTTTCTGTGTAACATGTTCCAATAGGTTAGCTTGCAGCGAAGTGTGCGAATTTGATTTCGAAGAGGGATATTCTAAAAATGTAGATTATGCCGATTTTTTTTCAACAGTTCAGCTGGCTGCTATTTTGATATTTTCAGTTTTGGATGCCTTGCCTACCATTTAATTGCCCACCAAGCTTTTCGAAAAAATTGATAACCCAAACACAACTGTTTGGAACCACATGATTAGAGGCTATGCCAGTAGCCATATGCCTTGGAAATCGGTTCAATTTTACAATCAAATGGTGTCAACTGAGTCTGAACCTGATGGGTTCACATACTCGTTTCTCTTGAGTGCTTGTGTACGAGGTGAGTTGGTAAAAGAAGGGGAACAGGTGCATGCGACTGTTCTGGCAAAAGGTTATTGCTCAGACGTGTTTGTTAACACTAATTTGATCAATTTTTATGCGAATCAAGGTGGTGTTGAGCAAGCACGCCATGTGTTTGATGATATGACTCAAAGAAGTGTTGTTAGCTGGAATTCTATACTTGCTGGGTACGTTAGGTGCTGTGATTTTGATGCTGCGAGAATCTTTTTTGATAAAATGCCACAGAAAAATGTTGTGTCTTGGACGACCATGATTGCTGGGTGTGCTCAGAATGGCCAATCTAAACAGGCTTTGTTGTTATTTGATTAGATGAGGGAAAGCGTTGTGAGTTAAACAGCATTGCCACATCTGGGAGTGCGCCTTCTGTTCGTCTCATAGAGAGCACTTGAAGAAAACATTAACTGGAAAGTGAAGCTTCAGAACCTTTGTTGCTGGATCCTAGGATGACAAAGGATGGTGGAATATTTTCTTCACTTTTCCTTGTTGAGTTCCTACTCTTTCTTGCTGCAGCGAAAGACAACCGTTGGGTGAGTGCGTGGCTTACTGAATTTGGGAATGGAAGTAAGGATGTTCTTGAAGACATTGGACGTGTCCACCGTGAAGTTCTATGGAAAATTGCTCTACTTGAAAATAAGAAGCAAGGGAGTGAGGAAGATGGTTCTTCTTCTTCTGATTCACAACAGGCTGAACGGGATGCAGGTGAGTCCGAGGAGCAAAGGATCAATTCTTTCAGGCAGTTACTTGATCCATTATTGAGAAGGAGGACATCGGGATGGAGCATCGAATCTCAGTTTTTTGACCTTATAAACCTATATCGAGATTTGGGCCGTTCCACTGGTTCTCAACATCGATCTATTTCTACCGGGCCGAATATGCGGTCAAGTTCCAGTAATCAGTTGCATCATTCTGGATCTGATGATAATGCTGAGATTGTTAATAAGAAGGAATCTGACAAGCATAGGTCGTATTATACCTCTTGTTGTGACATGGTCCGATTACTTTCATTTCACATTACTCATTTGTTCCAAGAGTTAGGAAAAGTAATGTTGTTACCATCCCGTCGACGTGATGATATTGTGAATGTAAGTCCTGCTTCAAAATCAGTGGCTTCTACTTTGGCATCAATTGCTCTAGATCACATGAATTATGGGGGCCATGTAAATCTTTCGGGAACAGAAGAATCAATATCAACAAAGTGTCGGTATTATGGGAAAGTGATTGATTTCACAGATAGTATGCTATGGAGCAGCAGAGCATAAGCATATCAAAAGCTGGAATTGTCACATCTCTTCAGGCACGCTGTTCTGTCATTGATGCTGCAAATCCAATTGGAGGAAGATATGATTCTTCAAAATTGTTTACGCAGAATGTTGAATTGACAGATCCTATTATTTCTCGTTTTGACATCCTCTGTGTTGTGAAGGATGTGGTTGATCCAGTCACTGATGAGATGCTTGCAAAGTTTGTTGTTGACAGTCACTTTAAGTCACAACCCAAGGGTGCTAACAATGATGATAAGTCTGTTAGTGAGTCCCAGGATGTATCTGGCATGCCAACTGACCCAGAGATACTTCCTCAAGATCTGTTGAAGAAGTACATTACATATGCCAAATTGAATGTTTTCCTAAGGTTTAATGATGCTGATTTGAATAAACCTACTAATGTGTATGCAGAACTCTTGAGGGAATCATCGCACGGTCAAGGAGTCCCCATTGCCGTAAGGCACATCAAATCAATGATAAGGATGTCTGAAGCTCATGCGAGAATGCATCTCAGGCAGCATGTTACACCAGCAGTGTTGAACTGAAAGGATATGACAGTGGCATTATTCAAGCATCATCATTCCGTACATATCATACCCCACTGAACAAGCAGGTTGACTATGTTAATTCCATGAGAGCTGCTCGAGGGTTCGGTTCAAGGGTTTCTGATTCTTTGAAGATTGAGATATTCCCATATTCGGTGTTTTATATGTTTTTGAGCAAACCTACATTTAGGGCTGATGCTGATCTTGAAGTTAAATTGAAAAATATCATCATACAATAGCTTGATGATGCTGCTGGTGATGTTTCTGGACTTGCTGTTAAATGCCTTGCTCCATTAGTGAGAAAGATGAATGAGGCAAGGGTTGTGGAAATGAGCAGTCAATTATGCGAGAAAATACTAAATGGGAAGGATCAACATCGAGACACTGCTAGCATAGCTTTGAAGACTGTTGTTGCTGAAGTTTCTACTCAACCCCTTGCACAATCTATTCTTTGTCTTCTCTCGCCACAATTGATTAAAGGAATTACTGGCAAAGATATGAGCACAGAGATTAAATGTGAGTGCCTGGATATTTTATGTGACGTCCTTCATAAATTTGGGAATCTAATGGCGGCCGACCATGAACTATTGTTAAGTTCCCTGCTTTCGCAGTTGAATTCTAACCAAGCTACTGTGCGTAAGAAGACTGTTGCATGCCTTGCATCTCTTTCTTCAAGTTTGTCAGATGATTTATTGGCAAGGGCAACAGTTGAAGTTGTTACCAAATTGAAATATAAAGCTGTCAAGTCTGAATCGACCGAGAAGTTGGAGCTGATGGATGACTTTCTAGAGGTCGAAAAAATTTGTTGGATTATCAAACGATTCTATTGAAGATGCTTCTGCATCATTTACTTCAAACAATAACACGGATGAAATCATGACCAATGAGGTATCCGAAGTTGGTACTAGCAAAGATGATCCATCCGAGTCTGAAAAGAACAATGGTTTGAATCCATTGGCAATTCAAGTGTCCCCTGCTGCAGTATCACCCAGTTCCGGTGGGATTGACGGCTTATCACCAGCAGAACTTCAATCAAGAATACAATCAGTTTTTGAGTCCGTGGCTAAGGATGCTGATGTGGGTCAGATCCTGAAGGATATTAAACGTGTTCTTGAAGAAACGCATGATACATCCATCCAAGACTCTGCAGCTGTCATTCCCCTCGATGCCCCACCTTCTGATATTCCATGGGATAAAAAGGATAATTCTGAAGGTGCTGGTTCAGTTGCAGAAAAAGACCTCATTTCATCCCAAGAACCTACTCAAGATATACAGATAACTTCTGATATAGAAGCTGCAATTTCTCAAATTCATGACTTCGTATTGTTCCTAGACAGAGAAGCAATGACAGTTCATGATATATCTTCTGGTGGAGATGGGATAAGCCAAAAGATGGAGGAGTTCTCTGTTACTTACAATAAAGTTAAATGCCATGAAGCAAGTTTGCTGCAGTTTGTTCTTGATCTGTCTCATGTATTGGCTAAAACAAGTGAATTCAGATTTAATATCCTTGGTTATAAAGGTATGGAAACTGAAACTAACAGTCCTGATTGCATAGATAAGATTGCTCTGCCTGAAAATAAGTTAGTTCAAGACAATTCGTCGGAAGAGAGATATGAAAATGGTGATTCCCGTATTCTTAATCCCTGTTCTAATCCCGAGGTTCAAGATGATGGAAATTTGACCTCAAGCTATGAATCAAATGCCACATCACAAAAGTTCTCCATGGAGGAATTTGAGGAATTGAAATTAGAGAAAGAGATGGCAATCTCAAGCAGCTGAGGCTGATTCTTATTTTTCTGATCAAATCAATCATTTGAAGGACGAGGAGGATTCAAATGCCTATTCAAGGTTACCCAGATGGAAAAATGATGGTGCAGTAAATGAGAGTTCTGTTTCCCAGGTTACTGTAAATAAGGAAGAGGCCTTCAAAGGTCATTCTCGAGGAGCAGATCATATTAAACAGGCTGAAGTTGATGCAAATGAAATTGAAGCCGAACCGTAATTGAGCCACGAGAGCCAATCCACATCACGTACTTGAAAACAGAGCGAAAACGGCTCGAAATTGAGGTTGAGCTGAGAAAACAATTCATCACTTATCCAAGCCATATTGCAAGCCATGTGAATATAATCTCAGCCATGTAGCTGACCCCACAAGCTATCCATGTCACTTAAATGAGCTACAAAGAGAAAAATTGCAAAACGACATGTAAAATACCAGCAAAAAAAAATATCACGCACAACACACCTACTTCAAAACGGCAGAAAATTATCACAAGCGGCAAATCATTTTTTCACTCATTCTCATCTATAAATAGAATTCATCCCTCACTCTATTCTTCAAGCTTTTCAAGCCAAAAAATCTCTGCTGATTTTCTTCCTCAATTCCTCAATACAAAACCTTTTGCTCACATTCTCTTCTCATACTTTCTTCCATCAAATTAACTTCAAATCAACCTCAAACACAGATCAATTCAACCAGAGATTCGTTCAGAAGAAGAAGAGAAGCAAGAAGAAGTTTGGATTGATTTCTTACCTG